GCACAATAAATACACTATACTCGTACTTTCCATTGCCAACTTTTATCGCGTCGATCACGCCCCATAGATTTATTCTCTGTGAGATTATCCGGATGGAATGATTTTTGATATTTCATATTAATGGCATTTCATATCTGTGACATTTTTCTCATTTTTTTTTTCAAATTATTCTTTTCAATATTTTTCGATCATAATATTATCACAAATGTTATGCATTGCATTATCTTATAATATTATATTAATCTTATAATATCATCTATATCTTTGGATAAAAATTTTGATCTTTAGTTGCATATCTTGAGCATTTCTCATTCTTTTAAATCATTCTGAGTATTTTTGGACTATATTATTATCAGAAAAATTGTGATGACATTGCATTACATCATATTATATTAATGTTTATTTTATTTGTGGGAAATCATTTTAAATTGTGTTATAAAAGATTCGTAAATTTACGAATATAAACGTTTTCTTAATATATGAAAATATTCATAAAATTAGTAGCTCTGATACTTTTAAAAAGGATTCGTTGTTGTACATTCATTGTTTTACATATTTTGATCAGTATTTGGAGAAACAGCAAATACAAAACTACATTTTAATTTGAATAATTATGTTTTAATTTCAACTGTCACAACAACGTTCACTTTGTTAAACAAAAACGCGTACAATCATATCGGCGAAGGCCATTGATATTACCATTCTAAATGAACTACTTCTAACCGAAGTAGTTTAACTTCCTTTCTCCTTAAATCAACAGCCTGCCACCCGTAACACAAGAAATACCTAAGCCACCTGAACGTAGTATCTTCATAAATCTTATCGCGATAAATCAAAATTGTTTTCATTAAACGCGTTTATATAATTGAAAATCTGGATATATTTCAACATCGCTGTGATATCGCAAATGATTTCTTATATGCGATATATAATTTTACATCGCTTGGTAATTTATCTTCACCAACTTCCTCACAATCAGTGAAGCTAAAATTTTCCATCATGTGACTTTCCTGACTATTATACAAATTTGCCCGGGAATATTGCTGCTGCCGCATCAGACGAGCAAGTAATTCACCTTAGATGGAACGTTCACTTTCTCGTTTGTCGAGTTACATTGAAAACGAAAATGTAGAAGTACACCTGTGTATTTTGTCTTTAACGAACCGTACAGAAGGCATAACGACATTCGAACATTGTGGCGAGGAATCGGTTGAAAGGAATCGCAGTCGCGGAATTTGACCGTTTTTGGGATCACGGCGATTGATAATAATTTAGAACTTGTTCCGACTCGCCCGAGGGGGATCGTCCGGTTTCGAGAGAGTGTTTTCTCTTACTTTCGTTGGCCGCAGAACGCGTGTCATTTCGTTTGCGTTGCGCTCCCGATACAATGCCAAGTTGCATTCTCTCGAGCGTGAAGTATACTCGTACTTCACGTGGCACGTGAATGGAATCCCGTGTTAGTTACACACGAGACGAACGGTTGCTGTTGTGTGAACTAATTATAAATACTATTAGCGCGTACAAAGAATAATGCGTGATAAAGAATAAGAAGAAAAAAGAGGAAGATGCAAAGTAAGAAGAAGAAAATGAGGAGAAAGGGTATGAGGAAAAAGAAGAAAAAGAGAAAGAAACGTATGAAATGTGATTCGGGAAGAGATCATTTGTCAACGAGGAAATTGTTACAAACTCTTAAAATTTATTTAATATAAGACACACACTCATATAGACACTTTATTGTAAGACTTTCTAAATGAAGAAAGATTAAATTATAATTTTTGCATACTGTATACGTATGACATAATTTTAATGTAATTAAATTAAAATTATGACATATATACTAAAAGAATCTAATCTTTATCAATGAACAAATTACATTAATTTAAGAAAAATATAGTGATAGCAGTTATATAGGTCACAACTGTACAAATTTTATATTATGTAGAATTAATGTAATTAAAGTGATGTCATTAATAATTATAAAATAATTAATTTAACTATATATATGAATGTACATTAATTCTACATATAAAACTTGTATAATTGTCATCTATATAGTTATCATCTCTACGCTTATCTTCTTGTGTGTAGAACAATTATTTCACATCGATAAATTATAATAATGAGATCGCATTATATAACAAATGATTTATCAAATGATGTGGGAATTATATTCTAATTAGCAGCCTAGTGTTTCTCTAACTACATTATTATTCAATTATTATTGTAGCATTCACGAATTTAAATTAAGCAATGGCAATTGCTTTATTTATTTATTTTTAGATGCATTATACATGTGTATAGATATACAATAATATCAGTAAGCGAAACTCGACAAGCACCGTCCTATGGCTTGGAAAATAAACATTCTACATGCATAGGACTATATTGACCATCTGGCCGCCATGATCATTCTCGTTTCGCACGTATTTATAAGTGATGATTCGAAATGACCTACATTTCATAGTTTTTTTTCTCTGTCTGTTAACATTGATTTTGCTAAAAGCTAGCAATATTGAACTAGCAAATTCAATCTAAATTATCTAAATTATATTTGAATAGAAAGCAATCAATAATTTCTTGCGATATTCGCTTGATTAAACTTTTATCGTCTCCATTTTCCTAATAGCATAATTTATTGACGCAATATTATCCCAATATCTCCCAAATGTTTGTCAATATTTAATCAATATTTAATCAAAAATCGTAAACTGAATTAATCGTGCTGTTAGAATCCGATTTCTAATTACAAAATTACTGTTTTTTATCGTATCATGATTTGTTTCTTGTTATAATGTATCTATAAAACGTAAATTTGGCGAAAACGTATATTCGGTTTACGATATAAAAATCTATTGTTGTCCTCGACTTACCTCGAAGTACAGCTGCTGGTTCATGCTGACTTTATAGAGGGAACATGTATCTTGGTCTTGTGGCAGCAGCAGGTGATGAGGACTGTCCTCGTAGAGCGTCTGCGTAGGCGCGTTTCCGAAAATCGATGCTTCCTGATGCAATATACCTGCGCCATCGGAATGACCCGGCACGATCGGTCGCCAGGACGACGAGATCGCCTGCATCTCGTGTGAGAGCGCAACGAGAATAGCGCACGTAAATAGGATCGGCGTCATCTTCGGGCGGCTCGTTCCTCTCGAGCTACCTGCAAATTGAAAGATCGAACTTGCTTTTATTTTTCGAATTCGTTAACTATTTTGTGACTAAAAAGAATTCGGAATTTATTGTATACTGTTAAATATCGAAGGAATAATAATAACTCATGTGAGTCTTGAGTTTAATAACTTTTTATTATTTTTAATTTTCACGAGTCAAAATATTGAATCCATTTCAAAGTAAACAACGTCGTATTAACGGGTGCACTTAGTAAATAATAAACTTTTGAGTTAAATTTAATATATTTTTTTAGTTAAATTGTTTATCTTTTTTGTTTTAGTTAAATTAACAATGTATTAAGTAGATGTAGTGACTTTTAGAAACGATTTCAAATAATTTATATTGAATATAATTTGACGTTATGAATTTAACAGTGTAACAGGAATATATTGAAAAAAAAATATAGAATCCACGAAAGTTTTTGTTATTTTTACTTTTAAAAATTTTCCAATTTTTAAAAACTGAAAAATAAGATTGTGAAACTTAAAATTATTTCAAAATTATTACTATTAAAAATTATGAAAAATCTTAGGATCATCAGGACTCATATATTTTAGTTACGGGTTAAATCCTTCGGTCGTCCGAGACATGTATTTTCACTTTCCGTTTATTTGAAAGTAATGATAGTGCAATGTCATTACGTTCACATATGTTGCATATATGACTCACATATTATATAAAATTCCTCGACTGTTTTTTCCGCGAATAACCTTACGCATAATAAAGCACATGGCGCTCTCCCAAATTAGTGAAAATAGAAAAGAGAAATTGGGAGCTGATTTGTAGAATTAGGGAGGAAAATATAGAGCAAGTTATAAAATGAAGATTTAGAACGATAGCTTTACTATGAACAATGTTCTATGGAAATCGTGGAAAGAGAGAACAAGGAATTGAAGAAGAGTAAAGAGAATAGGATAAGGAAAATTAGTTATTAGGAAGGATACAAAAGGAAGGCAAAATGTTACGAAGGAAGAAAATATGCTAGAATTTTGTGCAATAACTGGATAAATGTTGTATGAATATAAATTAGTATATCTGATAAAAAAGATTGTGATACTTAGGGAAAAAAGATAATAAAATAACGTAGCTTTAGATAATAGTAATCTTTACAAAATTATTTCTTAAAAAAAAAAAGATAAAAAATGCGTGTTAAAAGATGAAATTGTAAACAAAGTCTCTTAGCATATATGCAAATATAACAAATATTCTGTCTTCTTTTAGAAAGGAAAGAAACGGTTTGTTCTCTCTGCCTTTTTAATATAAAGATTCATTTTACTTATTGTCTAATTTTTGCGAGATAAAGGAATAGGCGAATTTGTGTAGATATTAATCAACGTGCAGTATCAGTGTATTACTGTCGACGAGTTTCTTCACTTAGTTCATTATTATAATCGAGAGATTTACGACTCGATATACACCCGGGTGTGGGAAACGGATCACAGAAAAAAAAACATTGAATCGATGGAATGAAGTTTATGCCGCCACCGCGTATAATATAATGCAGAAAAGAATGGTGTGCACACGCAATCATCATTTCGTTGCGAAATTTAATTCAGGGAAGCGTGACGAACGTTGTATCGCGCTAAGAACGCAGTCGACGATAATCCTTTTTTTTTATACGATATCATTTTCATCTCATTACGCTGCTACCATCATACGCTGCTGCGGAATACCGAATAGCCTCGTGACGCGATTAGAATCAGATACGAGATGCAGATATCCCATCCCTTCTGCACTCTTTTTCTTCTTGTGGATAATTAATCGACGCTATTAATTATTTTGCTAACTACGCCCGTTCTCGAAGACCTGCTGATGAATTCGTGCGACGTAAGTTATATTGATGTTTATATGCGTTCCTTTATATAAAGCATGTTTCGCTCGTAAAGTTGATGGCGTGCATACAAGTGATAGTCGCGTGAAGAAATGGTGGGAGAGAATTTTATGGCTGATATAAATTACCGTGATCGAGACAATTATTTCTCGCTAATACATCCAATGTGTATATATATATATATATATCCCCAATAATACACTTCTAATGATTTTCTAATTGCGCCGGAGCACGCTTTCTTGATTCTTAAATCGCTAATACTAATCAAATCAGGAAATCGAACACACTGAAAAAATTATGATATATGAATGGGATTATTTTAGTTGAAAATAATCTAGTTAATTATTAGCAAATATTATCTATTAAAATAATTATAAACACTCAAACTGGAGTTGCTAGAATATCAACAATTTTTGCAGCATGCTTGAAAATTCTACGTAACTATTTTGATGATTTAACAAACTACTTTGATGATTTTCAGATCTGTGCTTAGCTAAATTTTTAGATTAGCTAAATTTTTGCCTTCAGCAAAATCGTTCTTTACTGTAATAGAACAGAAACAATGCCATACTTTAAGGCAAAGAAAATAATGAATTATAATAAATCTTAATTAAAATTTTTTATATATACTCTTCTCTCTTGAACGTTAACAAGATTATTTTTAATTAAATTAATATGTCATTTTTTTCCGTGTATAGGAAAACAATTTTTATAATAAAACCAATTACGTGCAGTATTTTAATACAATATTTTAACATGGTGCAATCATATTACTGCAACACATGAATGCAACCGGAAGAATTTTCTGTTTTGCCTTGATAGTGAACGGTACTAAGACTTTAATGACTGGGCGTTGAACGGTAGTGTTAACGGAACTAAGATATGCGGGAGTAGCGCAAAATGTAATTGATGGTTTCCGATATTGAAAGGATCTGCGTATGCACATTTGCTCTTAAATTTAAAATAACTAAGACCTGTCACGCTTGAATAATTGTGCTTGACTATTAACTGCTTTAGAAACTCGAAGTTGAATAAAACTGAAAGTTGAAGTCTTATTAAATGGTCAAATGGTATCATGAAGGTTTTTACTGAAGGTATATTATAATTAATTTTTGTAATTATAATTCATTTCATATGTGATAGGAATAATTGCATGGTAATTATTTGATAGTATAATTATTTAGTTATTATTCGGAATTGTGTTGATGTAATTTTAATGATTTTATTGAACATTTCAATTATGAACTTATGAACTTATGATAATCGTCGATTAATAAAAAATAATCTGTTATTAACACTTCTAACCTAAATAATATATATTGTTTATAAATATTGTTTCATTATTTTTATTAATTTTACGTTTTAAATTCTTATCAACGTATTACTGTACTTTGTACACTCTAATTAATTATGAAAGTCTCTCTTTTCTCTAATCTCTTTGTATCATCGCTTCTACTACTCGTGTCAGCGACGTCATTCTCATCTCATAGTCATTAATGCAACCGTTCACTTTGTTATAAGAGTATCCCGCTTAGAATGTAGATTGTCGAGTCACTTTGTAACACTCTATCGTGATCAAACAAATTGCGATCAACAAGAAAAGCTATCAAAGTGAAAATTAAAATACAATGCCCTGAATACTCTGGCGACATTGAAATGACTATACTTTACATGGAATCACACCAATCTCCTATCAAATTGACAGCCAATATATTAAAGTTTTCACTTTATTAAAAAAACGAAATATATACGTAATATATCGTATACATTATTAATATTCTACTTGCATAAAATATATGTAACGAAATGGTAATGATATATGATACACAAACATTACATAAGTAAATAATAAAACAAGTGCATTATGAATTAAAGATTCATGTTAAAAATTCATTAATTAAAGATTTATGTTAAAATTTTAAGATATAAAGATTTGTAAAGAATGCTAGTACAATTGCATAAATATCTTGAGTGAGTAAGAGTTTTTTATTAAACATTTAACAATTAATTACTGTTTTATTTTTTAAGCTATATAGACATATATAATATACATATTATAATAATCCACTAGAAAAAACAAAAAAATTAAATAATTAATATTACATTTTTATTTCGAATTATTACTTTACTGAACGAAACTTTTAAACTATTTCCAAACTTATCACCTGATAAAAGAAACAACACTCAAAATTTGTAAGATTTATAATTTTGTAAGTAATTATAATAAATTCTTAATGCGTTCTTTAGTTATCTTTGCCTGAATCGAGAGATATAGGAGCACTTCCGTAAAAACGCTTCCACAAAGTCGCACAGATATATTAAATAACATTTTTCGAACATTCAGACGTTTAGACCACCACGACGTTTAAACACACTAAAACAATGTTCTTTTGAGAAACACGAAATTTCGAGCGATTATTGTAACGCGAAACTTACCCAGAGATAATGACCACGGTCGAACTCGGCACTATTGAAGAAGGTAGATCCTCGCGGTCTCAGAACGGAAAGGTAACTGTCTGCTCGTTGAGCTCGCCGTGGACCTGGTAAGCTTGCAGGAGGTATGCACCTCTCCTACCTGGGTGTTTGATATACCTTTTGCCTCGCGAGCCTTTTGCTTCGCTTTTCCCCGCATATCGTATCGCCGCATAATTGTCGTAAAAGCGATTCTCACGTATGTACATCGAGATTCCGGCTGATTATCGGATCGTTCATTCGTTTATTCATACGCACACATGACATGTGTACGATGTAACATGCGAGGTATCATAATAAAAGTGCGGAAAATGTATTTTGCAGTATTAATCCTTCAGCAAAAATTTGGGGTTCTATTTTGGTATACTTATCTTGCGATACTTGACCCTCGAAATACATTATAGTATGTGTGTGTGTATCATATTCATTCATATTTTCGAAATTATTAAATGTGTCTGATGAAGTTTTTATCAAAACTTTATAGCATCAATTACCTTTTTATTTTGTAAATTATGTAAAGATATGTACATATATTTAATTATTTTATAAATTATGCATATATTTTTTTCAATATTTTTTAAAATCTTTTAGTTTATAGATTATTATATATACAACATAATGTGTATACATTTACAGAAAAAAGTATTTATAATAAAACAGTAAATTTTATTTCTATCCAAATTTTATTCCACACATTTAATTACTTTTTTATTTTATAAATTATATATAGTTTACATACACACATATATAAAGTAATTATGAGTTGAGTCAATAAATAATTTCAATTTGAAGTGATTTTTTTGTGATTGACAGATAATAAAAAATATATATATAACAGCGGATATGGTATCCAAAAATAGTTGATAGTGATTATACGATTACTAGAAATACAAGGAGAGTATTATTAATTTAATATCTTGTTAAGACAAACTATCGTTAAATGCTATAAATTTTCTATGTGAAATTGTTCTTTTCATTAATAAGTAAAAGAAGGGCAAAGAGCCAGTAATATAACAAAGAACTTTAATTTAACTTATGAAAATAATATAATAATTACAAAGAATAAAACATACATGTTCTTTTTATGTATTTTTATTGCGCGCGCATACACAATATAGCTATAATATTAGATCAGATTTAAATAAATAATTTAAAATTGAGACACCAGGGTGGCCAACAAGTTTCTTGCACGTGATCTGAAAATGTCTAACAAGTCGGCGAATAAATTCGTTCGAGCATTCAGTCTAGAATGGTGGAACGGTATCTTATAATTGGTGCGAATGATTGTTGCTCGCCTTGTTCTTGTCAAAGAATTTGCGGATATTGTGAAATATTCTGGGTTGCCACACTCTCTTTGATCATCTTAATACTCGTTCCTGAAGATTATATCTGTATTTTTTGTCGTGTGGGAGATGGTACGCAATGATAAAGTGTGTGTGGATAAGTGCAATAATTATTCAGTTAAAGCGAGTCGCCGGTTAACTTCAGATCTAACATTAAATCCATGATAACTTTTTAAATAGCGCGACGTTTTTTTACTTCCCACCGTTAGCAAACAACATGTGTTTTCATGCTCATTAAATCCCAATTAATTATGTGATTATCTATTTAATTTAACATCCAGTATCTCGTTCTACTTCATAAACATGTAGAAGCCTGAGAGAAGCTTGGCACATTGGCCTTCAGGCTAAATGCCGAAGTTGCTCTGATGCAACGAACATTTTATGCAAGTATAACACGGTACAGCGTAACAATTTACTGTTAGCTACAGTTTTTATTTTATAGTCGGTACGAAATTATTACATTATGCCATTAACCGTCTTAAGGAATCGTTTATTTCCGATATTTAGTTTTTTATATTGACATTACATGCATGAAATCGATTGACAATGCACATGTTGAGTTCCTTATTGCTTAACACTCCATCTGCAATCATATTTTTACTTCCTTTATAATCTGAATCTTTTGTTCAAGTTTTTTTTACTAAGCTTTTAAAAAATATGAGAAAATTCAGGGTCACTTTTTAACATTACTATATCGAATAGTTTTTTCGATTATTTTAAGAGAGGAAATCGACCTCCGCTTTACTTTATTTTGAAAAAAATTGAGAATGAAATTTTATTTTTATAAAAACGATAGATTACTGGATTAATATTGCTTTCTATTTCGAATTAATTATTATAGCAATTGCACAATTACTGTAAAATATATTTATATAGATCTAAAGTAATGCAAAAGAAAGATACGAAAACGATAGTGGCATTCAGATTTTTTCTGTAGAATGCAAAATACAAATATTCTGCCAATCAGGAAGAATGTTAAATAAGACTCACGTTCCTGATTTAATAGGAATTGATGGAATCTCAAGTTACATATCTCTTTCACTCGGAACACTTTCACATCTTTTAACACATGATCAGTTTTCAAAGCACATTTCGCTTTTCGTGCATTTATCTCTCACAAATAGCCAGGGGCCTCACAAACTGTTAGTAAGCGTTTATGGAAATTATTATTATTATTATTTATGTTGTTAATATAAATATGTTAAAAGTTTATCAAATTTACATTTATAAAACTTCTCTTCCGCAAAAGAAATACATTTCACAAACGCTGTCTCGAATATAAAGCATCTTGGAAGAATAGTTTTCGTTTTCTAAAAGAAGTCTTCAAAAGTTTTTCTAGAAAGAGATTGTATAAATATTTCACAAAGCAAAATAACTAGATGATTTAATAATTTACTACTTTTTTGTCACTTTATTTCGTTTCTTAAAATATAATTGTACATAAAACTATTGCTTTTATTATATATAAATTCTTGTTTAATTCTGAATATTCCAATCGGCTTTTTAATATAAAAAAATTGGATGTATATATATATATATATGTAAAAGAAAGTCTCTATAAATATTAGGAAATATTATAAGAGTTAAGAAGTGTTGAATTGCCCAACTACATTAGCAAAATGCATATTACAGTTTATATTACATATACGCCATTATTAAACGTACTGAAAAACATTAATGTTCGGCTATAAGTAGCCATAAATGTGACAGCGTCATAAGAAATAATGACACGCTATATTCGCTTCAATGTATCGAGTAAGTACCTTTAAAATTGTCGTGAGTTTTACTGTGCATACATTTTCCATAATTATTTCTATATCCGGAGTAAAAGATTGTAAATCCAAAGAAGTTGTTACTTCGAGAAAAACTTGCAAAGGATTAGAATAACGTCGATATATTTTTAAAATTAAAAAAAAAATGAATATGCAAAATCGAATCAATTTGTCGGATTTGTTATTTTGCGTTTGTCGAACATAGATTTAAAGAAAAATGTTTTTAAAATGTTTTAAAAAGTTATAAAAATTAAATAGCTTTTGATGTTTCGGAGTTTAAGGTTAATTGAGATGTTACGTAGCTATATATCTGTCGTTGAGGTTCGCGTACATACATTAAAATGAAGAGGCCATATGTAAGCCGTCAACTGCTTTTTCGGTTACGTATACACTCGTAATCTCGGCGAAGACGGATACGTTTCCCTTCGCTTTTACTTTCTCCGGTATTTTGTATGTTGTGTGGCGCGCGATCGTTAAATCTGATCGGGATGAGATCGAGTTCTGCAGTAACGGGCGCGTGCGACCGTGCATTTCAATCGAAGAGATAATAACAGCAGATATCGACGCTGACAGTGGATAGTTTATTGAATTCCAACGAGAGAAGTGACATCGATCGATATACATATTATGCGTCCTTTCCATCCAGGTCTATCGGGTTATTTCCATATTCGCCGATCGATCGGCGGAAGCCATTACGGCGCCGTTTGTGATTCCGCGGCGCGTCTGAACGTTTCTCGCGAAATTAAAAGGCGCCTTCCATGAAGGCGAAGGCGACTAAACCAGAATGATCCGTGTAATCAGAGATGATGGTGGTTATATATCGGTCTGCGATTTACATACATTACATTGATCAGAGCGTAATGTACCTCCGATAATCCTCCGAGCGCTGTGTAGGTTTCTCGGTTAATCAAAAGTTAATTCTTCCTTGGTAAATATTGACGAAACTTCAATTTCCGATCTTAATTCCAATGCTCTTGCATAAATGTAATAAAATTTGTGTAACAAAACCATCTCGGAGATTTTTTTCAAACACGTTGCGCGCTGTTAATCTTCCGGAACCGGTGGGTCTATTGGATTCATTCAATTATAAATCTTTTTGTAAAAAATATTATTTCAATTTTTTTTTATTACACCTGCAAATTTAGATTATTTCTATTAAAGTAATTTTATTATACATTTATCCCTTTTTATGTTATTTTCTGTTCCGTAAAGTTAATCAGTATGCTTTAATTATTATAAATTATATAATAAATAAATCTTACAGACCTAAGAGCAAATATTTCTTTACTTTAAGTAAATGTTCACCTAGTATTATTCAAAGAAATATAATATATATTTTAAGATTTAGTGATTTTTTTCAATGTACGAAGTAACCTTGTTTCGAGTAATTGAAATTTAGTCACCGTAATTAATTAAAATTAACGCGGTAACTTTGGTGATTTCCATTCCCATCCGATTTAGCAAAACGCTAGATTTTAAATTCGTCTTGGAGTCCACAGCTGAAAGAACACACTAGGCAGATCTGGAGCAACTGTGAACGCAATGCTGGGAATCCAGTCACTTGACAAAGGTAGACAGCCCCGGAGGTGGCGAACGTGTCGTCACCGCACGTCGCGGCGACCGCAATCCTTCTTTTTTTTTCCCCTCTCGGGTACTCTCCTCCGCTATAGAAAGTGAGCACACAGGCGTGGTGTGTGAAGTGTATAACGCGTGGAAAAACGGCAGCTCGTTAAAACGTACAACTTGCGAATTGCGAAAGATCTCGGAATTGATTTGGACCTGCCAGTGTCCGGCTCGCAATGTGGTGGCTGGAGATGTGGCCCGCGGCAACTAAAAATCAAATACGGTCGAGGACGAGAAGGTTTCCTTTCTAGAGATTGTAATAGGACTACCGGAACTGTCTGGCACACCGAAATCGATT